GTTGCCCGATGCCACGTTCACCTCAGATGCCGACCTCGAGCTCCTTGGTGCTGCAGTCCTACCGCAGGCGGTTCCCAACTTATCGCTCCGCCTCAGGGATAAGCTCACTAGGATGCAGGGTAGGCTGCCCCTCCTGACTTCTTAGGCTGCTTCCTTCCTTCTACGGAGCTCCCTTGGCATCAACCGCATAAGGTACTTCCTCCGAGCCAGTCCTGCCTACGTTGACTCCAGTGAACTCAGCTCCATCGATTCTACAATACTACAATGCGCGCGATCATGTCTCAATCTCCGCCTGGACGCCAGATCAAACACCCAAACGTCCCTTCCGATCAAGTCTGGAGGACTGGGTCTTCGAGTCCCCTCAAACCTATATATGGTTATATATGGTCGTCGAGGTTCTCTGAGATTCCTGATGCAGACAATCGTCATTTACAATTCCAGAATACTCTCAGTCAGAGGAATATACTTTCCTCCCCTTTGTTATTGAAACTTCGGGCGTCTGGGGCGAACAGGCGACTGCTTTCTCAAGGAGATCGGTGGACGACTTGAGCAGGCTACCGGGGAAACACGCTCGAACGCGTTTTTCAGACAGAAAATCGCACTGGAGACCCAGCGAGGCAACGCACGATTGCTTCTCGACGCTCTGCCCCGCGAGAGGGGTCTTGATGAGCTTTTCTTTGTGTAAAATTTTCCTCAAATTGAAAACCCGTATGTAGTATTGTGCGAAACGAAGACACCAGCACTTACTGAGCCGAAAGCCGACAATGCTCATGTTTATTGTTTTTACATGGAGACAGGGCACCGGGTACTACTGTGTTTATCTGACCCCTCACCCTTTCCTGTCGCGGCCGCCGCAGCTAGCCACTACATCTTCCCTCCCATTATAAAATTAGCGTATTATTATATTCTGAGTTTCCTATCCTATCCGGGTACATATTCTGCCAGGTAGTCCGGTCGCTTCCGGTTTCGTTGAGGTCGTGCTTCTCGCGGCGGTGTTTTCGCCCGGGGTGGTGTAGTCCACTCTGCTATTTCTTCGTCGGTATCAGCTGCGTTGACACCTTTCCGTCGTTCGTGATTTGGGCTTCTGGTTCGCTGTCTGCTGCCTCTCCCGGT